ACCATAAAAACCCATGGAAGGCCCTAGCTGATTTGATTCAGTGGATAGAGCATTGGCCCGTGGACTGAAGGGTGCCAGGTTTGATTCTGGTCAAGAGCATTTACCTTGTTTGCAGGCTCAATCACCAAGTGTGGGAGGCAACCAGTTGATGTGTCTTTCTCACATCAATGTTTCTCATTCCTCCTCCTCCTCTCTTCCACTCTCTCTAAAAATATCCTTGGGTGAGGATGAACACAAACAAAAAAAACTTATGGAAGGGGCAACTGACTACTGATGCTAGTTTCTGTTCACTGCACTGTTACAGTTCTCTGCCTCCATTGTGCGTGTATGTTCACACTTCTTTCTGGGTGTCTGTGGAAACCCTGTTTATTTGCTTGTGGGCATACTGTGTTCCTTCATCTTGATTACTCATCCCTCCTAAGTACAGGGATTCTCTTCCCTTCTTTTCTTTTTTTTTCTCTCTCCTCAAAAACTCATCTATCAATTCCGGCTGGTTCAGCCATCACCTCTGTGAAGATGCTTCCCAAATCTATACCCACAGCATTTCCAGCTGCCTGCTGGGCATCTCCATCTGGAAGTCCTTCTTGCATTCAAATGTAGCATGTCCAAAACTGAACTCATTAATTCCCTATTACCTTTCCTTTTTTCCCAATCTCTGCTTATGCTAGCATCTTCACTTTCAGGATACATGTTTGAATCTTAAATCCAGCCCTTGCCTTTCCTTTGCTTCTTGATCCCTTCCCAGTGTCTCCCACATGCAGTCAGTTGATCAGACTGTCCAATTCCTCCTCCATTCTGTTGCCATTATTCAGCTTTTCTTTTCCCTCCCTGATGCCACTACCCTAATTGAGGCCCTCATTATCTCTCACCAGGACTGTTGGAAGAAGCTACTCCTAACTAATCTTTTCTCTCCTTTTCACTGCACTCAACATACCACTGTCAGAGTAACTGTTTTAGTCGTTAACTCTAATCACACTACTCCTTTGCTAACAAACCATCCATGCCTTCAGATTGCCCGCAGAATGAAGTCCCAACTCTAAACTTACCTTTTTAAGGTCCTTCACTCTTCACGCTTTTTCTGGGCTTGTTCACCTACACACATTGCCCAGATGGGTATCCCCACAGCTCCTGAACCTGCTTCCCATTCTTCCACCTTCTTATCACTGTGTAACCAGTTTATTTCTCCAAAGATACCTTTCTTTCCATTCCATAACCCCATCTTACTCCTACTTCCATTCTCTGCTCGGGGAAATTTGGCCGTCTTTTAAGGCTCAGTCTGAATTCTACATCTACCGAGAGAGGCACCTCTAGCAAGAACACCAACTTTACCAATCTAGCTAGCATCCACTTTTTGTTTTTTTCAGCCATGCATAATTTTATCATCTTCTGGATTTGCTCTGGCTTATCACTGCCCCTCCTTAAAGAGGCACTGAGAATAAATCATAGTGTTCCAGGTGAAGTGTGACCTGGACTACATGAAACATAGTACCTCTGTAGATTTAGGTGTTTGTGGTAGGGATTGGGAGGCAGGGTATCCTCAGGAACAAATTTTCTTAATCTTTTGGTTCTCTGTGTATGTTTTTTAAGGGTGCTAATGAAGTGAAATCAAAGAAGAGGTGTTTTGGAAACAGTTATTAATTTACTCAAGCTTTAATCTATTCTTCAGCTTGTTACCTACTGTCTTACATGAAAATCAGTGGTTAGAAGGTGTGCTTTTCTGACTGCTCTCTTGATTTCTGTTAACCAGTTCACCAGTTTCTTTTCCTGGCCTTTTCAGTAATGCATCTCAAAGTGGCAGGTGTTCTAATGATATATGATGTTTGGAATGAGGATAGGAAGAATTGCTTAACTTTTATTGTTCTGGGAGGTAGAAAATGAAACAGTATTTATAGGAGTTATATATGCTAGTACAGTGGGGAGGACTTTGAGAGATAGAAGGAGAAACAGAGTAGAAGAAAGAGAAAATAGAAGTTGAGAAAAAATAGATGGCAAACCAGTAATAAGGAAAGAGAATGTAATTTTGTGATCCCTGGATCATCTGCCATGTTCTTCCATAGTGTTATATACATTGCTCATGTTGTCTCTTCCATATATGACTATGGAAAGTAGACATCATTAACCTCATTTTATAGAACAGGTCACTATCTCAGTCGCATAGCTACTGAATAGCAGGATTTTTTAAACCTGGTTCTAAAGCAGCACTGTTCTCATTTGACTTAGCTACAAGTTTTGTCCCTGAGATGAAGCAGATGGAGAGTCACTATAGAGCCAAAAGCCAGTTGGCATGGGTTCAAATCCTGGCTCCATCTAGGCTCTACCGCCTACAGGCTCAGGTACCCAGGCATGTTGCTTGATCTCTGTCTCCCTCATTTTCCTCATCTGTAAAATCATAATAAACAGGGTACCTTCCTTTAGGGTTGTTGTAAATTAGTTTTAGTTAATATATAGAAAAATGCTTAGAACAGTTCTGGCATGTATAGAGTTTTTACTGTGTCATCATATCCTTCATCCCTAACCAGGCTTATTCCCCAAAACACACACACACACAGCCTCACCTTCCTCTTTTCCCTTCTCTTTAATATTACACAGAAATGGAAGAATAAAGATTAACCTTAGGTAATAAATATGTAAGGATAAGTAATATAAGTTAAAATTTGTAGTTTAAAGCAAAAAACTTTTGAAATGGCTCCCATTCACTTTTCTTTTTCTAAAATAGGGTGTTTCCTAGCCTCCCTGTGGTTCAGGTCTATAGGATTTAAGCAAATTGTTACAGGATAATAAAGAGCTTTGGACATTTCTGATGATTATTTCTATTGTGTTATAGCTTAATCACTTAATTAAGTTTCTTTCCTAGAAAGAAATTAGAACTTATTTTCTTTATTTTTATTTTTAAAATATGTTTTTATTCATTTTTTAGAAAGGAAGGGAGAGGGAGAGAGAGATAGCAACATCAATGATGAGAGAGAATCACTGATCGGCTGCCTCCTGCACACCCCCTACTGGGGATCAAGCCCACAATCCTGGCATGAGCCCTGACTGGGAATGAAACGGAATTGAACTATGACTTCCTGTTTCATGGGTAGATGCTCAACCACTGAGCCACACTGGCCAGACTAGAACTTATTTTTTAAAATGATTAATCCTTCTAACTTGCTGAAGATCAATTACTAGATTGAGGAGAAGGTATAAGTAGAAAAACAGCTACAGCTTTTACTTTGCAAAGAGCCTGAAGATCCCTGTTATTTTGAAAGTAATGAAAGGGCAAGAAGAGGTCCTTTTTAAAATCCCTGTGTAGAGGCATGAGGGGCAAAGTTGTTTTGTTTTTTTTTAAGTAATGACTAACTCATTAATTTTGGCTTAGTTAATTAATTTCAATTGATTCTTTGTTCAAAATTTACCATGGAAGTCTTAATAATTCAATGAAGTATTATAATAATAATATTTAATGTTTTTACCACAATCAATAATTATATTTGTGTATTATTTATGTATATTATAATCTACTTTATTATTGTCATGAGCATTATTCTAAATATTAATTTATTACAATATATTACCCATAGTTTTCTCTTTTTTTCTCTTTTTAATGATGCCATTTAGTTCTTGTATGATAACCATTTGCAATATTTAAAAACAAATGACAAAGTGCATTCAGGAAAGTATTCCTAGCCTTAGTTATAGTAGAAACTATAAAAGTTCAATTCTCATAGCAAAAAAAAATATGACATTCTAAGTCAAAGCTTTATTGTTGTCTAGAGTGATAATACTTTTTATAAATAACTAGAGACCCGGTACATGAAATTCATGCACGGTCGTGGGGGGTGGGGGGGGCGTCCCTCAGCCTGGCCTGCACCCTCTCTTAATCCAGGACCCCTCAGGAAATGTCCAACTGTCAGTTTAGGCCCGATCCCACAGGGGCGGGCAGTTAGGGGCGATCAGGCCAGCAGGGGAGGGCAGTCGGACATTCCTCTCGCAATCCAGGACCACTGGCTCCTAACCACTTGCCTGCATGATTACCCCTAACCACCGCTGCCTGCCTACCTGCCTGCCTGATTGCCCCTAACCACCTCTGCCTGCTGGCCTAATGCCCCTAACCACCTCTGCCTGCTGACTTTATTGCCCTTAACCGCCTCTGCCTACCAACCTGATCGCCCCTAACTGCCCTCCCCTGCCAGCCTGATTGCCCAACCGCCTCTGCCTCAGCCCCTGCCACTGTGGCTTTGTCCAGAAGGACGTCCAGAAGATGTCTGGTCTAATTAGCATATTACCCTTTTATTAGTATAGATAGGAAATGGCAAGATACTTGTTCATGGCATTCTTTTTCATTTTACTTCTGAAATAAATGTTTGTGTCAACCACCATCACCAAATAAGATCTCTTTATCTAAGTCATAAAGTTTGTAATTATTTCAGTTGGTGTCAACTACCGCAAACAGTTTAAAACTGTGGGTTCCTCTTGTTATCAGAGCAAATGGTTAATATTGTGAGGTTGGCTGTAGACAGTGGGAAAACCCAGAAAGAGGAGAAAGCCAGATCATCAAGCCTCACTGTGTCAGATTGTTACTTTTAAAACCAGCCATTGGTTTCTCCAGTTGTTTGCTGAACTCATGGTTTCCTTCTATTCACTCTTTCTTCCCCCAATCCTTTTTCTTTTTTTAAATATATTTTTATTTATTTCAGAGAGGAAGGGAGAGGGAGAAAGAGATAGAAACATCAGTGACAAGAGTGAATCATTGATTGGCTGCCCTCTGTATGCCCCCTACTGGAGACCAAGCCCACAACTCAGGCATGTGCTCTGACTAGGAATTGAATCATGACTTCCTGGTTCATAGGTCCATGCTCAACCACTGAGCAATGCCGGCTGGGCCCAATCCTATTTATTTTCAACACGTTCCTTTGTCTAATTTTGGAATTATGAGCATATTTGTAGCAATTTGCTAACATGATCTGACTGATCTTATGAAAATATATTAATCTTATTCTTTTATTTATGTGTTGCAGGGGGCTTGTACAAGATAGCCGGAATAACCTCCAACTGAGGGGCTTGGTGGTGCTACTTATTTCTAAAGCAGCTGGGCCCAGCAGAGTGAATGCTTCATGTCAGAACTATGACATGGTCAGTGGGATCTATTCATGGTAAGAAATTAGTCTTTTGACTTTGCTCTCTAAATTATGTTTTCTTTTACTGAACAGTGGTAGTAGAAATGGCTATTTAGTTCTTTGTCATTCTGATTCAAAGATAAATTAAAATATTTGTATGGTTTAAAATATGTATTTTTATTGTTAATAGATCTGATAGTCTCGGCTGCTCCATGCATAACTCTGGTAAATTTACCCATACATATGTGTTAAATACTTGCATTACTACCCTGAGCATTTAAAATTTTCTGTTCATGACTACCCATCCTCCGCATCATGGTATCATTATGTCTCTGTGGAGACCTCTTTGTCCCTTACTCTAGGATTTTTATTTTTTCAACCTACTCAAACTGATATGTAGTTGTAAAATATTGATGCAAGTACCATTTTAGCAGAAATAGTCTACTTCAGTACTATATCATTTATTTTATTTTGCTTATTTTTATGGTGAATCGATATTTACTAAAGTTACTGAAATTATAGATTTTTATATCACACATTTAGATTAAAAATTAATTACTAGCATGTATTAATCACATTGGTTGCATATAAAACAAACTTTAAATTTTTTGTTTTAAAAAAAATACTGCTTTTTTTAGTGAGATATCAGCAATAACTTTATTTAATTTTAATAGAGTACTTGGCACTGTGTTAAAAGCCTCTCTCTATAGAAGTAACAATCTGCAGATGAACTTTGGCACGTGAAATTAAAACTACCCTAAAAACATGGGGAACAAAAAAATTTTTCTCCCAAAAAGCATTTCTAGAAACTTTGACTTATGGCTGATATATCTTATTGACTTAATTTAAAAATCAATCCACATCTTAGATTTTTTTTTTATTTCTAGTGGTCTTATCCATAAATGTTTTATTTTTCTATAATATTTAGAAATGACTGTTGCTTGCCAGCTATGAAGTACAGTGATCCTTCATCATTAACAAGCAAGCAAAATTTATTACTGTTGTAGCTACAAATGACCCCTCTTCAGCCAGCATAATTTATGCAGATCTTTTACTATTTATGCATATAAGTATCTTCACTAAAAGAGATACCTTGGGATCATTTTTAGTTTCTACTCACTCTGATATAATTTATATTTTTTAGTGCTTTGTAGGTTACTAATCATTTTTATGAGTTATCCTTTTTTATTTTAATCCTCATCTGAGGATATTGTTTCCATTTATTCTTCTTAGTGTGGAGGGTGGGGAGTTGAGGGGAGACTGAGCCTGCAACCAAGGTACGTGCCCTTGACTGGGAATCAAACCTTTCAGTCTAAGGGCCGACACTCTAACCACTGAGCAAACCAGCCAGGGCGACAGTTATCCCGTTTGTCCTTACAATAATTCTGTAGGTAAGAGTTGTCATGTTACTTTTTTAGGGTGGTACAACTTCAATTGAGGAAAGTTGAGTCTCTAACTATAGTTTCCTTCTAAACCTCATGTATGTTTTTCTTGATTCCATTCTGATTTTCTAGTCTGATTCAAATAATTTATTTCACTTGCAGATTAGACTAACCATTAAATTATTATACCAAAAAGGTCTTGTAAGTATTTCGTTGAAAAACTCCTGAATTGAAAGCAACTTGGCAAATCTTTAATACATCTACATCCCTCCCCCAAACTTTTGAATTAGAGGTCAAAACTTTACCTTACAAATTGTGTAGAAAGCTCTTGACTGAGTTTAGTTGAAAATAACTGGAGAAAACACATAAGGATACAAAATGAATACCAATAACCTAATAATCCCTGGAAAGCAAATAGACTTCACATCACCTTGTATCCCAGGTATGTCTAGCCCCTATTGGGAATTCCTTTGGGTTTTAGTCTGCTGATTTTGATCCTGTTTTATTAATAGTCTGCTCTTAATTGGGTAACCATACATACCTCCAATGAACACCAGCCAAGTTTTGTTACCTCAGATTCTAAAATAATCAATCTAAAATACTATTTGACACATACTAGGTGTTCAGTATATATTTGTTGCATAAGTGAATCAACCCCGTTTTACAGAAAAAGAAGTTAATACTGAGACTAAGATTTATCTAAAATCCTTTAAGTAGTAAGTGATAGAGTTGGGAATTAAATCCTGGTTTTACTCTAATGTATGTTACCTTTTCTACTATGCAAGTGCTCTTATCTATATGCACACAGTGCACTGTAATGTGAACATGTGTTTACCTAGTCTCTAAGAAACACCTACAATCACCTTCTGAGCCTTCAAGGAACATATGCATTTAGTAGACGGTCATTGTAACACAGCAGTTGTAAAAGAACTTTGCAGAAGAGTAGGTGGTGCATTATGAATATAAAAATGTTCCAAATAATATGAATGAATTTCATACCCAAGTATATAGAATCCATAATTACATTTAGGGAATAATCCTGGTTCTGGGCTATTTTCTGTAATTAAGCTTGATCCAGCATGTCATTGGTGATGCTTGGGTGGTTGGTACACTTGTTAATGTGAAAATGTAATTTGGCATAGTACTATGAGAAACCATTAATTTGTTTCTCCATCCCTGAATTCATTTGTTTTGCTCCTGCTTTTCTTAATTGTTCAAGTGTAACTTTTGCTGGAGGCTTGTATCTATAATGCCACAGTGAATTATTTAACATTTGAGGAAAAGTACTGACTTGGGAGCTTTTTAAATTCACCTCCCAACTACTGGGGTTTGCATTGTTGGTGTTTTTTCTCTCATAAACTTGACTTTGATGTCAGATAGTGGGACCTGAGTAAATTACCTAAGGGACCAAAGTAAGTTAGGTGACCTCTTTTATTTAGCCTAAGGACATAACTGATGGATATAATTTGTGGATCTATTTAGTGAATTTATCATATGGCCAAGAGAGGCAGAATGTAGGTTAAAATGTAATAACTACATTTTGGAAAACAGGTAAGAGAGCCACATTGATAAAAATGCACTATAAGCATCTACCATAGCCTTTTGCCAAGAAGACTGTGGGGTTTACATTTATTCTACCAATCCTGAGTTTACATGACAGGGACTGGAGGGGGGGGGGCACTGGATGAAAGAAGGTGAAGAGATTAGTCAAAGAACAAAAATGCATAACCCTTAGGCATAGGCAATAGTGTGGGCGGGTGGAGCTGGGTGGAGGTAGACAAGGGGGGAGGGAAATGGGGACATCTGTAATAGTCTCAGCAATGAAAATAAACTTAAAAAATAAAAGTATGCATAGCCCATGGACACAGACAACAGTTGGAGAAGGTGGGGGTGAGGGGGGTTGAGTGGGGGTGGGAAAGGGGGACATCTGTAATAGTGTCAACAATATAAATACATACATTTATACATATTGGTTACAAAGGTAATCAGTCGAAAAAAATACTAAATTCAATGTAAAAGTATCTCTTGCCACTCCTGAGAAAATAAGTGTATAACTTCCTGTTCTATTAATAATAGGATACTCTTGTATACAAAAAATAGATCATTACAATATATAAAACATAACATTTCAAAGTATAGACTTCTCTAATGTAGCATGATTATTAAGTTTAAATTTTTTTATGAGTTTTTTAACTAATGGTTCACCTTTCTCAGTTGTTTTAGCAATAATTTACTCAGTTTTTTTCTCATCTAACTAGCAGTTATAATAGACCTCATATTTTCATCTTACCTTCATTGCCTGCAATTTCCCAAAACCTCTTGTTAACTCTAGTAGAAGAGATTGAAACTTGTTTGCCAAACACATTTTCTTTTCCTTCTCAGTATCCAGCTGGACTGTATCTGCCAGCTTTGTACAACTGTGTATCTCGCCAGTGCCTTGGACATAGTATTCATTTAAATCTTTACATGATTGACCCTTCTGTTACCGCAGTGTTCTAGACCAAAATAAACATTTGAATCACACATGTATAGCATGTGCCTTTTAAAGGAGTGTAACTGGACCATGTCTTCCTGTGACTTGGGCGTACCTTATTATGACCTCCCTCCCTGAAATCAATAAAAATATATATTTTTTAAAATGATAATTCTTCAATGGAATGAAATTCCCAAAGTCAAAAATAATTGCCAAATTTACAAAAATATTTGCAACATACCTACCGAAGGACCAGTTTTAATAAATCAGTTGAGGATCTTATAAATCAAGGAGAAGATAATGCAACACAACATGGACAAAAGATAGGAATAGGCTGTTCGGTGAAGAAGTATAGATGGCTAGTAAGCAGAGGGGGAAAAAAGCTGGACTTCATCCCAAGGAGCAATTAAAACAAAATCACAGCTTCTCCCTGTCATTGGCAAAGATTAAAAAGTTTGATACCCAATGTTTGTGAGTATGTGAGGAAGTAGGCATTTGAGTGCTTTGTTAGTAGGGACATTAATTCATATAGTTACTTAGAGAACAATTTAGTAAAGTCTATAAATTTTATTTCAATCTAACTACCCTTTGATTTAGCAAAATTATATGCTGATGTATGTATGTATGTATAAGAATGTTCTTTGCCCTCCCTGTCCTCCAAAAAGGAAATAACCAGATGTCTACCAATAGGACACATGTTACTTTGATGCAAAGGAATATCAAGTGTTTGTCTAAAAGAACTAAGGAGATCTGTATGTGCAGATCTAGAAAGATTTCAAAGAATCATGTGGAAAAAGCAAGGTACAGAAACATATTATAGTTTGACCCCCTTGGGTTGGGCAGTGGATTTGTACATGCATGAGAAATGTTTCAAAGTAGAAACAAAGAGCTGTTTATAGTGGTCACCTCTGTGGAGAGGCAGCTGGTGGGAGGAAATGGGATGAGAGACTTTAACTGTTCATTTTATGTCTTCTTTAGTCCTCTGAATTCTTTTTAACCATATACATGTTTTACTAATTTACTAGTACACTCCTTACAAACTGGTAAAAAAGAAACTTGCTGAACTGAGATAGTTAGCCTAGTCCTGTCATTTGAAAGCTTCACAGTCCCTGAGCTGATCTGAACTTTTTAATTTTCTGCCCTCTTTGACAAGATCAAGTATCTTATGAACATGGGTAAAT